GAGGTAGTACCTGGTCAAATAGTATCATCAGTCAAGTCAGATAGTTACCCAAAAGTACCGAATCTTACCGGTAATGAGCCAAACATTCTCAGTTGACGCCATGGTGATAGGTAGGGGGTAAGAATGATATTGAGCGGCTCTATTATTGTCAATCTGTGTGGTCAGCTGGCCAAGGCTGCGTCAAGCTCACTCTCAGCGGGACATCGGGACGCTACACCGGTATCGGATCCGAAGCAAATGCTTGTAAAGCTATTTCATTCATTCGAGAACGCTTCTTTTCTGAGTCTGACATGGTTCGAGCTACTGGCTACCCGAGTCCTTTCTAGAGCCTTCCTCTTCCTCTCCGACATTCGCTCTTGGCGATGGTGTAATAGCCAAAACAGAGGGCACGGCAATTACCAGAGCGCCGCCTACTAGTGACCAGTTGATCGTAAATTGGGTCAGCGCAGGATCTACGGAAACAGTAAGCACAAATGCATCAAACGGGACGAGACAACCTCACAATGAAGAGCATTGATACGCCATGCCACTGCTCCACCCGACGCTTGGAAAGTCTTATACACTACAGAGGTTCATCAGGTCAAGTTACTGGTAGAAGCGCAAGAAAAGACTGACAGCCGACAAACTTGGCCGCGGCTTGAGGGGAATCCGCCAGCGAAGCCATCATCCAATAACAATAAGATTGCCAAAAAGCATCAAAGGCACCGTAAAAGAAGTACCTATGTCTAAAGTTAGCCTCAGTTCTAAACATATACAACATAGATCACTCACAACCAGAATGGGCCAATAAACGTGCTAGTGTCCGTAAAGTCCAGCCATTGTTTTCTTCCTTGTCGGGAATTCCATCTTTGAAATGCTAGCCCACCACCCCAAATGGCCATTCCGATAGTAAAAACGAAGATCCATCCGAGTTTAGCACGGCCTGGTCGGCTGAGAAGCTTGAGATCCAAGAGAACGCCAATGATAAACCCGCCGAACATTTGCGCGATCCAGTACATGGAGCCGTTGAGCGAGCGTGTGCGAAGAGTAAACGTATCACCTGGACGAAAGAATGAGCTATAATTGGTGAACACCACCAAAACAGAGTACACTTCACCGTTGACCGAGTTCTGCTGGTAGGAATAAAAGAAGTTTGCACAGAAGAACATGGGTATTAGAAGAATGATACGCCAGTTTCCCAGTGCGTGTCGAAAGTTGACGAGTTCGCGTTTTAAAGAATCGAGAGCTTTGAAGTTGCCTTCAGGTGCTGGTGAGCCGGCGTAAGTTCCATCTGAACGGAAGACCTTATGAGGAGGCAGGATAAATAGGCTGAGTAGCCATCCAACGACTGACGGTTTGGTGAGTGCGACGGAGGTAAACGTAGAGAACGTGGACATACACATAATAGCCATGAAAGCCCCATCTGCTCAGTCTCGTCAGAAGGTCACTATGAGCAAGGTGACTGTTGTACGCACATGTTCCATCGTTAACGGTACCACTGTGTGAATGGAAGTTTAGCCCAAACGATATAAATGATCCGATCCCTCCGCCGAGGTTGAAGATAATCTACTATCGTAGTATCAGTTGAAGACATAATAGTTTGGACAGGAGTGAATAAACGCACCCAGAACAAGGCAATAGCTCTCCCTTTCCAGTCAGCCAAAGGATAGGAAACCATGATCTAGCACGCTGTCAGCTGGAGGCCTATGAACTACAAGAGCTACCCACTCACAGCACCTTGAGCTACCCATAAGAATGAAGCACCTAGTCCCAAAATCGCACCACTGGCAATGACAAAGGTTGCATTTTTCGTGTGGTTGTAGCACAGTAGGGATCCGGAATAGAGGGGATAGGTCCAACCTCCAATAAGGAGACATGTGCGTGGACCAAAAGTCTACAAGATCAGATGTCAACGCAGGATGAGTGAAGGATTAGAAAGACTCACATCGAAAACGGGTGGCACAAGGAACAGAGCAGACGCGGCGGTGGATGCGAGGAGAGCAACGTTGGCGTTAGCGGCTACTGTGCTATCCAGCTGGCCAGAACCCCCGATCCCAGAGATTGCATTGTACATGCCTGATCCAACGAATAAGCAAACACCATGTAGAGGATAACCCGTTGACATACCGGGGCAGCAGAAACATATGAACGAGATCAGTAAGATCTGGGCAGTAGGTGATCGCCAGTAGTCGTAGAGCGCGCTACTGACCGCCATGGTTGAGAAGATGGAGGTCGTGGTGGTTCAGGTCAACACTGGATCCACTTTTCATTCTTCCGGTAGCCCAGCCGATTTGCAGACGGATCTTCCTGTAGCACATGCATTTTGACAGATAAGAAGTCGAAGACACAGGCGACGTGATAGGCAACGTGGAGAATCTATCACAGTGTCAGAACACAATAAATCAGATATCAAAACGCTCACCACTGACCTCATGTCCGCCGTCACAAACTCAAGCTCACATGGTACCCAACTCTCTTCACTTTCTCCATACTTCGACATTACACGACCTCTGGTCCTCGTCGTAGATGCTGGAGGAACCAAATGCACTGCAGCGATCGCAACTACAGCGGAAGGAGTGATAGCGAGAGGCGAAGCCGGGCCATGTAACTTGTAGGCTCTGGAGCAGGATTCGCGTGGATAAAATTCTGACGGCATATAGCTCCACTATAGGCCTCCAAAGCACCGTCGAAACGATCAAGGCGGCAGTTCACGATGCACTTGCCACCTTGAAGATGACAGAACCACGATTTACCGCTGCTTGGGCCGGTATTGCAGGAGTGGACGCCACTCGCCCACATGATATCGCCCGGGTACGATTACATCTCGCTGGCGTGTTGGGATTCGAAGAAGATTCAGAGGCACTTGTTGTATCCAGTGACGCAGAACTACTCTCCTCCGTACTGCTTTCGGTGCCAACGGAAAAGAGCGCCGTCGTTCTGGTGGCTGGTACCGGTAGCATCGCGTACTTGTATACTGCCGCTAATTCGCCCGGGGGTGAAAATGAAAAACCAGGGTTCCGAGTTCCACGACGAGTAGCTCGCTGTGGGGGTTGGGGCCACTTGTTGGGAGATGAAGGTTCAGGATACGACGCGGGAAGAAGAGCTATACGAGCGATGTTGAGCGCATGCGACAATGATAGACCGCCGACGCAACTTCATAAGAAGTTAATGACAGTGTTAGGGTGTGATGACGTAGCCGCGGTTATTACGAAGGTGTATAGCGACCCATCGGGTGCGAAAACCAGGATCGGATCCTTGTCGAATGTGGTGATGGAGATGGCTTTCGAGGAAAAAGACGCGGAAGCGCTGGCGATAGTGAGCGAGATGGTGCTATCTCTGGTGGAGTGCGTTCTGCCACTGACGATAGCAGCTCAGCGAGGAATGTGGATAGAAGATGGAATAGCACTCGTTCTTTCGGGCTCTCTGCTGGTTCAAGTTCCTCAGTTCAGGGAGGCGGTTGTAAGAGAGCTGAGAACAAGGGTGTCCGGGGTCAAATTTGGCACGGTATATGTGGTAGGAAATGCAGCTGAGTATGTAGCGTCGGTTCTATGCAAAGAGCCACCAGCTCAAGGGAAAGTTGCGGACCTAGCTTGAATGTCAGTACTGAGAGCTAGGGGATCCAAGAGATAACATACTCGAAGGAAATAGAAATGCTAATGCGAGAACCGTAATATGGCGCGGATAGAATAGACATGCACGCCAAACGGTCCACATCATGCTCATTGATTAGGGTGTAACAAGGGCATAGAGGCGGCATAAAGCACCCGTTGACGCTGACCTCTAGATATATTCAACAAATGAGAAGAGAAAGAGTCAAGCAATGCTCACCTTCAACCTCTGCCTCCTTGAGATCTGTGGTTATCCCAGTTTGACGTTTCGTCTTAAATGCGGGATGAAAAAGGTAGATATGTAGAGTACGTTTCGCGGGAGTTTGGCCGACATTTCCACTGTTATATGAGCGGTTTGCAGACATGAAGAACTGAGCGTGTAGCTGGTAGTCTTGTAATCAGTATCGGCGGGAGATGCTAAAGAGCGAGTCAATGGGGAGGTATTAGGCTATAAGAGATATGGCAGCACCTTGTATAGTTGGCCGTATATCCTTACTATAGTCTCCAGAATGCTCTGCCCAAAAGGTTCCCAATGACCGACGAATGAAAAATGTCGACGTTCATGTAACATTCTCCAGAGTGTTCGGTAGACCAGAAGAACATGACGCGATCAGTCGTATAGGTTGTTTCCAGAGAAATTTTAGAGAGAATTATGGAGAAGACGACCAAAGGTGTTGCTCGCTGTCAAGAACAACGAGCTCAACATCAAAAACGGCGAACTCGCGGTTTCCCGATTCGGCAGCCCAACACGCGTGACATATCTCACGCCCCAGACGCGCTCCTTTCCCTTTACCACCACCGTAATCATGTCGACTGCCAGTACAGAATCCCTTTCTCCCCTCGTAAATTCCTCCATGATTCCTCGTTACATTGGAAGAAGGGTTCGATTGCCGTGTAAAGTCCTCTCTGTATGTCTTGCCTTCCTTTTTCAGAGCTATTCACCGATTCAAAGATAGGTCAACACCCAAGCAAACCGAGCCACGGTTCAAGCCAGCGATGGCGGAGACGTTCAGGTGCAGCTATTCTCGGTATTTATTGTATTCCTCGTCTTCTTTGAACAGGTATAGAATTACTGGTCGCGTCTAGGATCACGATGGATCCACCTTCGTTGAAGTGGTAGGCACCGTAGAAGACGAGACGACCATCAAGAATGCCTGTTTGATATCATTGGGAGATGAACTCGGTGCGTCTCTTTATACATTCAAGTTACCCTAGCAAGCTAATAGACCGGTGGAAACATCAGACATGTCGACCGTGGACCAAACGATCAAAATCATTCACCAAGCTCAGTTTAAAGACGTTTTCTTCCCCGACCTCCCGTAAACTAGCGAACACTTCTTCTGCCACACTGTACTTATCTTTCTTGCGTGTATTATACATTGGGAGGGCTTTGCCAGGCAAACAATCGAAAAATGCTCACGGGCGGGTTCGAACCGCCGACCCTTGCATATGCTTAGGCAGATAACCTCATAAGTACAACGCTCTAATCCACTGAGCTACGCGAGCACATGTTCCTTGATAATGTATCTTTGATATAGCGTGACGATTTCGAGAAATACGAATGCTTTTGATAGCCCTCAAAGTTCGTAAACGAGAAAAGACAAATCACGCTTTAGTGCTTCGTATCATAGTCATCTACCTTCTCTTCATCCGCGACTCTCCTCTGTCCGGCTCCAGCATCCTCCGTCAAATGACCCGGTACAAAGTTACCTTGCCAGCAACTTCGTTCAGCAACCCAGACAATCAGAGTCAAAACCAACATACCTTCCCGCAGCTCCTTCTCTGCAGCATGCCTATCACCCGTCTTTGCGTACGCTGATCTCGGAATAAAGACTGGTGCATTTTCGAATAGGGCGTCCATTTCTTCAAGTCGGCGACCAGTAGTTTCCTTTAGTTTGCGAGTCAGAAGCGTTGTATAGTATCGAAGCAAAGATAGCTTTACGTACCGGGAAGAATGACCAGATGAAAAGCGCACTAAAGTGGATGTTAGCAAAGGAGACTATACCAGAGGAATGAAGACCTTACTTCGTGTGGCTCAGAATAGCGAATACCAGATCTGCATGGAATGTACCGTAGAATCACCTCGTAGTAGCACTAGGTTATAAGAACTTACAGTATCTATCAGCAACCTTTAGTACCGTATTCCGACTACCAGATGAAGACGTACCGCCAACCAACAGCACGGAACGCAAAAGGCGTCACCTGTGCAATGAAACTAAGGGTACTTTAGCTCGTGGTATACTCCTTTAGAGAAGATGTACGCACAAGTTCGATATCCAAGACGAAGAGCTCGTGATAGCGGTAGCCTTTGCTCTGGTTCGGGTAGAGCTAAGCGTAATGAATTCAGCGTCGGTAGGAGATGGCAAGAAGGAACCAGCTCACTAAATCTCAGCAGGGTACGCCCACGACAAAGGCCCAATACATGAGCTAAAGAAGAAGTTGAAAACCCAAGTCCTAAGACAGTAGCAGTCAGCCAACTGCAGATAGTGTTCCGAGGAAGTTACATACGTGACTGCAATGGACGAGGCAGAAGCGAATCAGTCGCCATTTTCAATGATCTCCATGTGTCATAACCTACTAATGAAAATCTACCCAAAGAGAGACATATTAGCGCACAATGGCAGATGAAAAGGCATAGATAGGCTCACGTAGTGTGCCTAGCCGATCGCAGAACCCAGTCAGCATTAACACAGCGCAACATAACTGGAACGTACAGCATCACTGCAAGGTCTGTTTTAGCAACTGGAACTAGAGCAATTGAATGACCACTTACTTATCCACCGAGCCAGGCCACCTGGCCATCAGTATCGAGCCCACAACAAACGAGAGCCCAGAAGCAATATTCCCAACGACCAATGGACGTCTTCTACCAGTATGGTCGACCCAGATGACACAGCATGCCTCTCCGATGAGTGCAATGATGCTGTTGATCGACTGGAAGAGCAGCACCCGAGTTGAGGAGAAACCCATCTGAAGAAAACGAGTTAACCAGACGTATAAAATTATTCCTCTCCGCGAAACATACTGTCGTGAATATCTGCCAAGAGTATGTGAGATGAGCAGGTACACAACAAACGTGGCCGAAGAGCATACCTCAGTGGAGTAGTACTGGATCGCACTAACGCCTTAATGGACCCGTCAGTTTGCGTCCAGAATGGTCATCAAGAGTATTACCTGTCATTTGCACGGAGAATTGGAGAATGAAGCTGAAACGGATCTTCAGTCACAGAGAAAGAGAATGGTCAACAGCATGATCTTACCCTAGCGAGAGACGGCGGAAGTTGCTGGGAACCTTGAACAGCTCCGACCAACTGAAAGTAGGTGTTAGTATCTGTTCAGCATGAGCAGTAACGAAACACGGCCGCACCTTGCGGAACCAATGTCTTTACTCTTCTCAATCTCAGCCTGAATGTCATCAATTTGAGAGGTCACAAAGGGGTCATTAAGGTCCCCATGAGCATGAAGCCTAGCCAGGCTTGCTCGTGCTGTAGTGCCAATACGTCAGCGTTTCGAAAACAAACTGCCGGGCTTCAGCTGACCATCTTCCATACGCCCCTTCTCAGCCAGCCACCGAGGTCTTGAAACATGATTCGAGATTGTCTTTCGATAGGGAGAGGCGGCAACTCACGACTCAGGGAAGAAACCAATAAAAGATATCAGAGGAAGGGCAGGGATGATCTGGGCGAAACAATCAGCCTGTCTTCGTGCATCCAGGAATTGGTGGAATAGTTACCTGTATACCGAGAGGTATCCTCCATTCGGCTTGAGTGCCTGCTAATCCTTGCGCACACCCATAAGTCTAGCGTCGAAATACGGTGAACATCGAGTTATACTGATACACAATAACATACCACCCAAGATGCGGTGAACGCTGTGTGTTGACAACCAGTTCAACGAGCTCGAGTATGCCGAGAAACATGAAGCATACCTCCGATACCCAACATGAACTAGGAAGGTATGTCAACAATGCTTTTGCTGTTGTATAGCCTGACTTACCTGTTGCAGGGTAGTCAGCCGCCCACGGATACTAGGATGTGCAATCTCGGCCTACGCAATGCTCAGCTTCAAATACTTCCTGGAAGATAAAACGTGTACCTGATATAAGGGCGCCAAGTCTGCAAGAAAGCCGACCCCGAAACCTAAGGGAATAGCATAAGTAACGGATTCGGCCAGCTCAAAGGGTATGAATTACCTGCAAAAAACCGCCCCACATACATCATATCGAGATTCCTAGCGCCAGTCTGCATTGCTCCACCGAAGCTGGGTTCAAGGGTGTATGGGTATACATTCCGCAAGATACAAAAGATCACACACATGTAGATCAGCGAGCCCAACTGGATAGTCTTGCGACGTCCGAAGTGATCTGCACAGTACGCGACTGGGAACATTCCAAAGAAGCTGTGGACAGGGAAATTGTTCTTGAATTCATTATCGCGCTTGAGAGGTTGAACGCGTACCATCCCAAAACTGTGGAGAAATAGTCAGAAATTTTCCAAGAACGCGAATAGCAATTAGGCGCACCGAAGATACTCGTAACTAACCCGAACAAATTAGAATCCTCGAAACGCGGACCCATCACAGCCTAAAAGGATCCACGTTAACCCAAGCACCCTTCGACGAGCAAGACAACCCACAGCGAAATCCTTTGCTGGAAGTACACCGGCGATAACGCCCAGATCATACCCAAAGATGATACTTCCCAGACCTGTACAGCATTGTCAATCTGCATCATTGTAGCACCGATGATGACTTACTTGCAAAAAGACCGCAGAGCCAAGTATACACCTTTGGTGGGAGAGGCATAGTTCGGGGAAGCCGCAACGATGCGCGTGGAGTATAGCGCATCACCAGCCCCCTCATTTAAATGTTTTATGATCTCCTGACGAAATGCCCAGGCTTGGGCGTTGCACGGTCCGGGGAAGGTCGAACGAGGTCATGGGACAAACTTCGGATATTTTACTCGCACTAAAATTGATCGTAGGCACAAGATGGTGTTGATTGTGATGCGCGGTCCCGCTCAACGTGTGGCACGACGTAAGTATATAGACTACAAGGTGACTCTGAATACAAGCACTTCGAGTGTCAACCATGAGTTATTATTGCACGGAAATAGAATAGACAAACTCACCTTGGAAAGAATGTGCCTTCAGGGGGTATTTGCCCTCCCATTTTACTTCTTTCTCCACAGTCTTTACCGTTTCCCCATCAAAACCGTTGGCATCCTTCAGACTCTCAGACCAGACTTCGTATACCTTCACGTTCTCATCGGCAACCTTCCCCGATGGCCCGAACAAAATAGGCACATTGTATTCCACTGTTTCATGCCGGTTGACGATAGCAACCCGAATTTCCTGGCCGGATGTCGAGAGCACTGCACTGACATCGATATACTTCGTCAGCCTAGAAGAAGGCGGGGTTGTCTTCTCCAGGTGCTGTATGAAAGTGGGTACAGTCGTTCCGTCATACGACTCGGAGTCGACGTGTACGTCGAGTGAGGTACCTTGCATGAGGTTCGCGAAGAGATGGAGGGGATAGTATGTCGTTTGCTTGAAGAACCCACTAGGTGATGTGATGATCTAGCCGTTTCGTGAGACAATGTGAGACGCAACAAGTATGGATAACTCACCGGAGAGATTACATTCACCGATCTGTTTGGATTCACAGTCAGTACAAGATTGAAGAGAAGGTGGAGTACACACTGGGCAATGCAAGCGATACTGACAACATCCGCCTTCCTGACGAAAACATTCAACCAGGAAGCTACCGCTAGACACGAATTACTTTCCTAACATGATAAGGCAACGGAGTTACACACCGAGAGCATCAGAAAGGTCGTAATGTTCCTCGGCGCCTTTCTCTCCGGGAGCTGATAATTGTTATTAGCATGGGAGAGAAGACCGAGAGCCAAAGACGAGGTACCTCGTACAGGATCCCAAACATTCCATTCATCGAAGCATCTGCGTTCAAGGATGAATATCAGTTTATATGGGAACAACGAAGAGGACGATCTTACATCGGAATCTCCTTGTCTAGACCTGACTCGATCTTCGCCAAATCCGTCAATGACTTCGTGATCTCTATGGCCTTCTCCGCGGCAGCAGCTATGGACGAGGGCTTTAAGTAATCTGGCCTTTTCGGTGAATGGAAAACAAATACGTACGACCCATGACATTCACGGTATGTTTACCCTCACTAACGGTATAGACTAGAGGTACAGCATGTGAGACAGGGTTGTTAGGACAAGTGTGCAATACCTACTGTGAATGGAGTGGAAATCGACCACGGGAGCTAGTTTTCTCAACACCACGCGATCCCAGTCGGCGTATCCGGTTTCTGTTGGAGACAGACATCAAGCATGTCTTCGTAGCCATGTCGTAGACGGCAAACTCACCTCCGCAAGAGACAAGCTTAATGGATGGGTCAAGGAGCTTCAGAGCCTTCGCCCACTGGTATGCCTTCTTAGCGTAGTCGTGTGCTTCCATCTGCCCGACTGTAAGGAGAGCTAG